AGGTGAGGTTCTGAAGCCAGTCAGTAGCTTGCTGTTCTTTTCTTCGTTTAATGGCGCACACTTCAAGGCTTGAATAACTGTAAAGCCAAATGGGATGTATTTTCCTGCAGCGATACTGCACGGCTACATACATCTGCCGCCACCGCCGCCATCTTGGTTTTCTTGAGTGATTCCATTTTTTTCCCTGTTCTTGGTCAATAAAAGTAACATTCACTGACTTCCACAATGTTTTCTCTTCATTTCTTTGAGTGTTCCTGAAAGCCAACAAGTTGAACCTTGGAATGACCTTATTATTGTATCATGTTTTTGATCTTTGTTTTACAGAATGGAATGTCTGAATGAGTGCTCATCCAAGACTGCTGATTCCATACTTTTTGCCAGGGGTTGTATATAAAAAAACRAAAAAGGCAGAACTATTTAGGTTTGCAAAGTTGCACCTGAATGAACCACAAGAAATCTGGAACAAAGCAAACTTGATGCATGACGCACAGCGGCACAAACATTTTATACCAACTGTAAAGCACGGTAGTGGAGGGTTGATGATTTGTGCATGTTTTCCAGGGTACCTTACAGTCTTAGTTGACCATGAAACCGGTATAGAAAATTATTCTAGTCAAATGTTTAATGAACCTCTTCATTAAACACCAGCCCCTGCATCTGTCCAGGTTCTAGTAGTCTTTGTAAACTGATGCTTTCTTTCTCTTTCTGGAGTCATTTTGGGTCAACAGTATTTAGTACATGGGACACTTTTTTGGGTGAATGAGTTAAATCTCTTATTCTTTCAGAGTTTGAATAATTTTGTTTAATTTTCTAAATTAAGTTACATATTAAAAGGTGACTTGTCTGAGATCAACAAATCAAAAACAGCATCTTTACTCGATTTACCTTGATGTTTATTAATTTAACACATTAAACTCTTTATATCAAGCCAACTACCCTCCAAAACAACAATCCGCCTGCTTTGTTGTGTGGCCTGATTGTGTAACCCACAGCAGTAAATGAGGGTTGGTTTTATAATCATCTTTCTGTCCACCTTTTTTTTTTTATCTCGCTCTCTCCTTTCTCTTAGTCTCGGTTGTCCTTTCCTCTGTGCTATCATAAAAATAAGCCCTAATCATAAAAAGAGGSACAGACTTCCTGGAGCTGATTGCAGCTTGTTGTCTGTTTATTTTAACAGTTCAAATCTGGGTCACCAAAACCAGGAATCAGGTGACATTATTCAGACCTGAACCAACACGATCTTGTTTAAATACAAGGGATCTGTGAGGAGGTGAGTGCCTGCAGGGGAAAACGCATTTCTAACTGCTGATGATACATGACTGCAACAGACTGAGCAGGATCCTTTTTTTGTTTGTTTCAATGCAGAGGTTTGTTAATCACCTGCAGCAGTGAGAGCTTTAGACAGCCTGTGTATTATGTGTGTGTGCTACTCATTAAAAATAACTGCACGCTATAAACAGTGCAGCTCCGGACCGGACAGCTCGCAGCCCTTGAAGCCCCTCCAGCTCCACGCTCTAATCCCGGAGCCCCGCGGCTAGCTGCAGCCGCCTCGTTGTGTCCTTACCGAGCGCAGCAGGCTGATCTCGTCGTACGACAGGAAATTGAGGATATTCTCAATGGCCACGATGGGGAGACCCAGGAGAGGGTTGTTCTGGTGCTGCTGATCCGGCGAGGGGGTGGACTGTCTCAAAGACGCAGAGTCCGGATCCAGCGATCCAACACATCCGTCAACTCTCTCTACGACGGCCGCCATCTTCTCTAGGTACAGAAGAGGCGGAAGTGACGTATCTATGGGAATCGCGTGCCCCTTTTTTTAACTTCCCCCCTTCTTTTATTTGGGTCAATAGAAGTGTTGCTATTTAGCCGACTTTCAGGAAATGCAGTAAGAAACGCTGACAGGACAGGGTGGCGCAGTGGGACGTTTTTCACCGAGGGCCACATGAACGATGTGTTGGCCCTCGAAGGGCCACTTAAACTTTGACGTTTCATGTTTAACTTTGACTAAACAGTGTTTTAACACGTCATCTTTTAAACACTGATAACTAAGTGTACGACTCACTAAATCTGAAATAAATACAGAAATATTATTTATTTTATGTTTGATGCTGACATTTACGATGTGTTGGCCCTCGAAGGGCCACTTAAACTTTGACGTTTCATGTTTAACTTTGACTAAACAGTGCTTTAACACGTCCTCTTTTAAACACTGATAACTAAGTGTA